AAGAGATTAACCGTCCATTTTTTTTAATCTGATACTCAAATTGATCCTTCAGGTTTGAGCTTTATCTCTATTTCTCTTCGATTACACACAATTTTGCTTCCTGGATTTTTTTTAGATAGATTCTGACTGATTTTTCTACTAACCTCGGAATTAGGGATTTATAGCGATAATTTCTGCGATTTTTTACAGCGTTATCCATTGAATTTAATCAACAATCGTATTACGAAAAGTAAATTGCGCCAATTTAGTGTTGGAACCAGATTAGAATATGTTAGAGACTGCATTTCAGTTTATTACTGAATCTGTTTAGTACTTGAATGACATGAACTTCGTCGAGAGTATTTCTAATTACCATTAAGTTTATTATTGAATCTATTTAGTATTCGATCATGGAAATGTTCATGTTGTAACCCAATGTTCAAAATCTAACATGCCCCAACACTATTTGAAGGAAATTCTTAACTTTAATACTTATAATGCTCGACATGATTGAAAACAAAAAAAAAGAGATTGGACTAAGCGGGTTACAAGTCAATGCTCCTTGTCCCTAAACCCATTTGCCTATCAAAATTGATGCGTGATTTGTCTCTTTCCATGCAATATCCTTTCATCGCCACGAAACCCAATTTCTGACGCTCTAGGGAAACGGCAAGTATGTTAATTTAATTATTTTGAACAATTTGATTGGGTTCATACACAGGAGAGAAACATACACATATACTAGGTTTGGGATGAATGCGATTGATGAAATTAAGTTGTTGAATTTTGGATCTAAATGGACGAATCCTCTGTTTGTTGCACTGTTAGCCATGTAATAATTCTTATAATTATAATTCAAGGTCAATTTGTTGTTTATTGGCATAGTTCCCCTTTGGATAGAAAAACTACTTTCCATGTTTATTTTGATACACGGAAGTTGGTTATGAATAAAAGCTGGAATGTGAAATAGGTTATTTCTTAATTGATGATGGAAAATCTTGACACCTGAACTTCATACCACTGGGAAATGTTATCTTCTACTAGGCTATATAGGAAACTGCGGAAGTTTGGTTTTGGAACCAAATACCTAGATTGCAATAGTTTATTTTATTCTTTGTTTCCAATTGCAATGAACAGATACTTTGTGTGTCTGTCAATAATGCTATTTAGATGTCAGAAAAGGAGACAAGCTATATCTTTTGGCATAATTGCCGTTTTTGAAGGAAGGAAAATCACTAATGTCACAATTTGATTGTTTAGAAAGCCCTGGGCAAACTGCTAGGTGGCAATTTGTATTTTAGAATGCGAAAAAGAGATGGATGCATTATGATCTAAATGACAGTGTCCTAGCTGAAACAGCTCAGGATTATGAACTTTAACTTGATTTTTATATAGAGGGGTTGATTTCGTAAAAGGGGAGGAAAAAAACTTGTCTATTTTTTCCGGAAAAAAAACTGATCTATTTTTTATAAGTAAGTATAATAATCAATTAGTCATTACTATATTCTTCTGTATTTCAACTGTCCAACTGAACTCTCATGGCAGCATAGTTTGGATAAGTAGATACTTGTAGGTTGAAATTATGGCATGGTCCATTTGGCTTCACCATCAACATAATCTCGTGATCATTTATCTTTGACAGATTTCATTGGCGATTTTGCAATCCATAATTATTGCCATATAATTATATCTTTCAATTGCATTTTTTTCTTCAGATTAGCACATTTAACTATGACATACTTGCATCTTAAAGCCTGATGGGTTTTTTTTTATATTTTTCCATATTATTTCATATAAATAGGCAACCATGACAGAACCGGAAGCAAGGCCAGACGTTGCTAGTACAGGAGATGTTGGTACACCGGGATGGTTACCAAGAGTGGATATGCTCTTTGACAGTGAAAACGATGCATATGAATTCTACAACACATATGCTGAAAACTTAGGCTTCTTCATCAGAAGATCGACACTATGGACGACCTCCAAGAACATCGTCACACGAAGGACATTTGTGTGCTCTAGAGAAGGCTTCCGTGAGAAAAAGAAAGGAGCAAGAGAGGTGAAGTCCCCACGGCCCGAAACAAGAATTGGTTGCCAAGCTTGCATGACCATCAGACTCACTCCCAATGGTAGGTATCGGGTTACGGAGTTTGAACCCAATCACAACCATCAGCTTGCAACGGTATCAACAATCAACATGCTAAGGGCAAAAAAGATGAGACGAAAGGCTCGGGCTGTTAGAGCTGATTTGGTGGATGATTCAGTGAGAACTCCGGAGTTTGAAACTGAAGACGAGGCCTATGAGTTCTATAGCATGTATGCTGGAAGAATAGGGTTTACTGTCCGGAGAGCAAGCATGACTCTGAGTGCAGAAAGTGTTATCACTAGAAGGATGTTTGTATGCTCACGGGAGGGTTTTCGAGAGAATAAAAAGGGGTCAAAGAGGGTAAAAAAGCCTCGTCCCGAGACTAGAACAGGTTGCCCTGCTTGTATGATCATCAGGGTTATGCCTAATGGAAAGTACCATGTATCAGAGTTTGTAACTCGTCATAACCATCAGCTAGCTACCCCTTCATCAGCTGACTTGATAATGTCACATAGTGCAGAAACTAGTGCACTAGATGATGAGCTAGGTCAAGTCGATTTGCTCTCTGATGAAAAAGATCGAGATAATCAGGATGTCAATTTACTCTCTGATGAAAATAAGCTTTATCCTCGACCTTTGAAAACTATGAGGAGCGGAGACGTAGGGGCCATAATGCAGTATCTGCAGAAGGCGCAGGAGGAGAATCCTTCATTCTTTTATGGTATGCAGGTTGATGACAATGATACTATGATTAGCTTCTTTTGGGCAGATTCGAAATCTATGATGGACTTCACCTATTTTGGTGATGCAGTTTGTTTGGACACTACCTATAGATTGTATGGCTATGGCAGGCCTCTTGTGCTATTCATTGGTGTCAATCACCACAAGCAGGCTGTAGTTTTTGGTTCAGCATTTCTGTATGATGAAAGTGTAAACTCTCTTAAGTGGTTGTTTGAGACTTTCAAGGTGGCAATGGGTGGGAAACAACCAAAGACAATATTGACTGATCGGTCTCCTGTAATCAAGGAGGCAGTAGCTGCGGTTTGGCCAGGTACAAATCATCGGTATTGTGTGTGGCATATTTACCAAAATGCCATTGAGCAACTGAGTCAAGCATTTCATGGCTCAAAAACTTTGTCATATGACTTCAGCAGATGCCTGTTTGATTATGAGGATGAGGAGGAGTTCATCTTGGCATGGAATGCAATGCTAGAGAAATATGACCTCAAAGACAACCAGTGGTTAGCTATGCTCTTTGAGGACAGGGAGAAATGGGCTTTAGTGCATGGAAGGCATGCATTTTATGCCGATTTGAAAAGCGTTCAACAAAAGGATACCTTGAATAGTGAATTAAAAAAACATTTAAGTCTAGAAACTGACCTCTTATGTTTTTTTGAGCATTATGAAAGGATACTGGGTGAAAGACGATATGCTGAAGTTCAAGCTGATGTTCATGCCAATCACAATGCACGGAAATTGCCTTCTATGCGTATTTTGAAACAAGCTGCTAGTGCCTATACTCCTGCTGCGTTTAAAATGTTCGAGAGGGAATTCGAGCTATACATGGATTGTATGCTATACAGTTGTGGTGAAGTTGGAACAATATCAGAATACAAGGTCACAATTGAGGAGAGAATTAAAGATCACTTCGTGAAATTTGACTCCCTTGATCTAACCGCCACGTGCACATGCAAAATGTTTGACTTTATAGGAATTCAATGTCGTCATGTGTTGAAAGTGCTGGATGCCAGAAATATAAAAGATCTTCCTCCGCACTACATTTTGAAGAGATGGAGAAAGGATGCAAAGACTGGAGGAATTAGTAGCAACTGCTGTATACCAATTGGTGATGATCCTCAGTCATCTCTTTCAAAACGTTATGGCAACCTCTGTCGAATCTTTAGTATTGCTGCAGCTAGGGCTGCGAAAACTATGGATTCATGTACATTCGTTGAGAATCAGTCAGATTTGCTCATTGATCAGGTAGAGCAAGTATTGAGAACAAGAGCTCTGGAGCTACCTCCTCTTATTACTTCCTCATCTGATCGACCCCAAAATCCAATTGATAATGTCATTGCTGGAAATTTCCGCTATGATAAGATGAACCAAACAAGCTTTGTGGCTCATTCTAATGGTAAGCTGCTCGTATTTCAGTAACATCATATCACCATCTTGTAAGCCGTTTGGGTTCTTTTATGGAAAGTAAAGCTCCGTCAAATATTTAACTAAAAGTTCCAGCATCTGAAACTGTTTTCATTTCTTTTGGGACTACAACTATTTCATCTTTTTATTTTGTGCAAATTACAGAATAGCCCCCAGAGGATTGCGTGATTGACATAACATCCCCGTAAAGCTAAAATCAGACTTATATGTACTCCCACATGATTATATGTGATTATTGCACTGAAATTTGATGATTACATCAAAATGTTGCCGATCATTTTGACTATAAATTGGAAATGGAGGGGTGGGGTGGTAAAGTGTCATTTTTAAAGATCTTATGTCAATTGTGCAAACCTCATGGGGTTTTTCTGTAATTCACCCTTTTACTTCCCTTTCTGACATCTCAGATTAGTACAAACTTTGTGTTGCATCTCTTCACAATTGGTGTTCTATAAGATGTCATCGTTCGCCAAATTGTGTGAATATCGACCTTTGTGTTTGATGTTTTGCAGGATTACTTAGCTCGCAACATTCACATCCAACCATATGTTGGGGACAGTTTCCTGCTAGGCTGCCAGAGCAGTAACTGAGGATACGAAACGTTACCCAAGTCTGATGGGGGATATTGCATAGCGTAAGCTGTAATAATTTCTTCTGATTATATTCTATCTCATGTTGTAGATATCAATTCTAGATGTTAAAGCGTTTTCATTGTCATTAACTTTGCTTCAATCTCACGGTGGGCATGAGAAATTATCTAAAGATCGGTTGCGTATATTCTACCCCATGTATGTTTTACTTTCCAATGCTTTAATTTCTTTCTTTACAAATTAAATTAGTCTTGTAGTGTATCCGTACCCTCGGAATGAATCCCTAATGCATGATCGGTTGCCATACTTCTGTAAAACATTTTGTCACCTTTCAACTGTCATCAACACATCTCTCACTGAGATTGCACGCATAGCTCGCAATAACCCGTCCGTGTTCTACTTTCCATTGACCCGTGCATGTTTTTTACTTTCCAGTGCTTGCATCAACGCTTGTTCCTCTTCTCGTCTTGGTAATTCTGTGGTTTTCTGGTTGGGCCTTTTCATGTGTGGAGGGCTGTAAAACAAGTGGGGTCTTGTTTTCTATGCTGTGCGTGTCATGCCTTTTCTCTGCAATGAATAAAAGACAGAAAGGAGTTAGAGTTTTAATACTACCCATCTTTTATAGCCAAAATGAGTTGATATGATTAAATGTTGTTTGCAAAGTTGTCCAAAGAAATATAAAACTATACAGCCTCTTCAAATTTGGAGGCTAAGATCCATGAACCTCTCCATAAGTTGTTCCCATTCCAACACTTGGCTTTTTTTTGCCTACCAACAACTCCCATCCGCTTATTATCATCACATTAAACAACACACGAGAACATTAGTGGCAACATTAGGAGACAAAACTCTCAGGTGTTATCTGGGGACTGTACTCAACCATGCTTTTGGACTTTTAGTGTGAGATCTGAGATGGGCTCATGTGAACCATTATTAGTGTTCCCCTTCTGTTTACCTTTGAGTTATTGTTATATATTACTCTCTCCTTCCATCTCCCTGCCGTCTAAAATTTGAATACGTCTTTTTGGCAAAATAGCCAGATTGGCATATTTTATCGAGGCTTTATGACACGTTGGTCTATTTTCTTTTAGTTTTGTCAGATTGGTATCATTTTTCAACTCCGACGTCATATAGGCCTTAAATTTGGCCGGAGTTACTGTTCCGCCCAGGGCTGATGGGATTTTTGACCGGAACAGTAACTAAATTTGGCCGGAACAGTAACTAAATTTAGCCGGAACAGTAACTCTGGCCAAATTTAAGGCCTATATGGCGCCGGAGTTGAAAAAATATACCAATCTGACAAAACTAAAAGAAAATATACCAACATGTCGCCAAGCCTCGAAAAAAATATACCAATCTGGCCATTTTGCCACGTCTTTTTCTCGGTCATAACCTTTCAATAACACACAGATCGCCATGGTTTACTGCTAATCTATGAAGTACTGCATCCTTCCTCATTTTTCGCATTAGATTAACGTGTATTAAGTGATGCATGATTATGATTAAAAAGAGGTGCTCTCTCTGATACAATGTACCTGGCCGTGGCCATAACGAAAAGAATCTCAATCCTATGTGTAAAGAGCGTCACATCTTTATACTCCTGTTCTCTCTGAATATTTTATGATCAATGATTAAAAAGCGTGGGAGGTGTTTCTCCTTGTAAGAATGCACTTTTACTTCGTCCAATTCTGTCAAAACGTAAAGAACGGCAATAATTAACCTATTTTAATGACACCATTAAAAAACATATTTTGATTACCAACCCTGAAGTGCTTTCTATTATAATAGGGTCATTAGCTAGTAGAAGGTAATTTAGCTTGCTTGGTCTTTTTTGTCCCCTCACATGCTTAAAAGATCAACTTTGATCAGATGATGGAGCTCATCATGATGGTAGTTGGAAAGCTTGCAATTAGCTATCATAATACTTTGATAACTGGTCTGAATTTTATTATAAATATATATATCAATCAACTTATGTTAAAATATTGGAGTATAATCAGTATACGTATGCTCAAAGATGGGCGATCTGAAACTTTACTTCAAAGAAAAGTGAAAAAGATGAATGATAAAATATGTTTATGATCAAGTCTATTATTCACCCATTTGGACTTTGTTTGTTTAATCCGTGAACAGGATGGCTTGGATCTTACATTTAGTATAATTCTCTGTCTTCGCAAATTTTTTGGTTAATTTTGTTGTTGTAGCTGTGATTATTGTTTGCTGATCCTCATAATAGCAGGTTATTTTAACAATAACATACAAAATGAAGTTCTCAAAACATACTAATTGTCCCTATTTCAACTTTTTTTTGTGGGACGGTGTAATTAGTTCGTCGCTTAGTAGCGCTGTACTTGAAAGTACTAGATTTTACATGGAAAACACTGTCCTTTGATTGCAATTTGATTATATGGAAGTAGTACCTCCCATGAAGAGATAATTAAATCATTCACTTTGACGAAAATGAACCTCTTTTTCATATCCTTTTATTAACAAAGAACACCGTCATCATGGAAGGCAAAGATTTATAAGGTAATAAAATATAACATGATTAAAAAATACATACTAAATAAAGTTCTCTAAAGCCCCGTTTGGGAATAACAAGGATTTTGACTATTTTTTTTATAATTAGAAAGGGTTAACTCTTAATCATTCTAAATAGGTGTATTAGTAAACCTCTTATTTTGATGGGTTAACTTATTTTAATCCCTCTAGATTTTTTGTGTTTGACAAATTATGGAGGGTTAACTCACTTTAACTCATGTATAGATTTTTTTTTGTTTGGCGGGTTAAGAAGGGGTTAAGTCTCCTTAACTCATGCTTAACCCTTTGCCAAACGGTACCTAATTTTGTTTTCTTGATAATAATAAAAAAAAACCCAAATTATAGTTGAACTAGTGTTGAAAAATATTGTTGTGGAACGATCAAGGATCCTAAAGGAGATCATAGATCAAGAAACTTCAACAAAAATGCAATGAGAACAGTCCAAACAAATGCAGTTGTCTAATAATTAATTGGTAGATGGTCCCCCATAACTTTCTATATCACATCCCTTCGATATGGTTAGGATTAAATACAATCTTTTTAAGGTTTGTATTGTTCATTGCAAACGTAATTTCAATAAAAGTATCAATTGCATACAATTATAATTGCTATACTGCAGTTATTATTTTAGTGCTTTGGTTTAATTCTAAAAATTTTAATTGTAGTTACACGTGTTTGTTTTGAGGTGACATGTTTTTTTATTTTATAATTCAAGGTTTTGATTATAGTTGTGATTACATGTACACCCGGCAAGATTACAATTGTAAGTTTGGGATTGAGATTCTCTCCAATTAGGTGGCAATTGAAAGTGATCTAATTATCCCAATATTTATAATTTATTTCCGTTTCAAGAGCAAAGACCAACTCATGTAGGACTCTGAATATGGTATTGAAAAAAATCACTATTATCTCTGAAGCCACTATTGCGGTAGCAGAAATTTTTGTCACTTCATCTTAAGGATAATTGGACACTCTTCAATGACCACCTAATTAGAGAGGATCCGAATACATATATTTTTAAAGCTACATGTATCGCTGTATTTATTAATTATAAAAAAAGGATCGTAATTGATCTCAAGAACATGTTAATTATATATTTCTCTCCACATGCGCCCCTGCCGCAAACCAAACAGACCTTGTAATTTGAAAGAGAAGTCTTTTTATAACTGCAGTTAGCGACTACATTTATCAATTAAGATAGATAGAAAAATTATAATCGACCTAAAAATGTACATCTCAGTTGGAATTAAAAAAAAAATGATATGATAAGTCCCCTCAGCTACCGTCCGTCCTTGATATATTTTTCATGAGGACGTGATATGGACCCCCAAGAGATATGAACGCGTATAAGCTGATAACCACGAAGAGGATGAGGGAAAAAAATTAGGACTCATGTGGGTGATATCAGCCACACGCAAACTTATTAATATATAAGAGCAAAGAAATGAAGGCAACTTGCATGGTCCCCTCACAAACTTTCCATTATTGCTCTCTCAGTCCAATTGCCGTCAAAGTCCATCTCTAGCGTTTTAGGGGGTGTTTGACAATCTGAAAGTGAATTTAAAATATGTAAGTTACTTTTTTTTACAAATAACTTTTACATCCATGCCAGCGCGTAAGTGAAATACAATGTTTGTTTGAAAAATTAAATTATTATCGAAAGTACAATATGAAGATGACGTGGCAAAATAAGATTAATTAGAGAGTATAATTAAAATTATTTAATTAAATTAGTTATATTTTTTTCACTTTCATGTGACTTTACCACTTTTTTAGGGGAAGTCAAAATTGCATTAAATCATATGTGGCAACTTTCTTGCATCTTGACGTGACAAAATAAGATTAATTAGAGAGTATAATTAAAATTATTTAATTAAATGAGTTACATTTTTTCACTTTCATGTGACTTCACCACTTTTTTAGGGGAAGTCAAAATTGCATTAAATCATATGTGGCAACTTTTTTGCGCCTCACTTTCATAACCACTTACATGAAAACAAACATCTTAATTGTTAAATGAAAGTAACTTTCTCACTTTCATCTTTCACTTGCATGCAAACAAACACCCCCTTAGTCCTCGCCCTTTGGGGGTGTTTGTTTGCATGCAAGTGAAAGATGAAAGTGAGAAAGTTACTTTCATTTAACAATTAAGGTGTTTGTTTTCATGTAAGTGGTTATGAAAGTGAGATGTAAGAAAATTACCACATAAGATTTAATACAATTTTGACTTCCCCTAAAAAATTGGTGAAGTCACATGAAAGTGACAAAAAGGTAAGTAATTTAATTAAATAATTTTAATTATATTTTCTAATTAATCTTATTTTGCCACGTCATCTTCACATTGCACTTTCGATAATAATTTAATTTTTCAAACAAACACTGTATTTCACTTGCGTGCTGACATGGATGTAAAAGTCGTTTGCAAAAAAAATAACTTACATATTTTAAATTCACTTTCAGATTGTCAAACACTCCTTAAGGGAAGCCATTTTTTACTGTACAAAAAGTAACCTACGCACGCTGATGTTTCCTGTTACATAATTATCGTAGAGTGCCTTTTTAAAAAAAAGATGATTGTACCCGCAAAATCGAGGTTTAAAATTTTTAAATGTGAATTTAGTTAATGATCTTGTTGTAAAAACGGGACTAAAATTGTTACATAAGTAAGACTATTTTTAAAGCGGGCTAATACGTAATGGGTTAAAAAATTTAAGACTCTTCGCGTATAGTAAAATTAAACATTTACGGGGACCAGAGTGTAAAAGGACCAAAGCAAGTCGCCGTCGGTTAACGGCTATCGTGGCGGTTCGATCTCGATGCAACTGGTGCAGGTCTCAACTGATAGACACGCTTTCTTATACTAACGTCCGTTAGCTTCTCCGTTACCTTTATCCCTTCTTCTTTCTCTCTCTTCCCCTCCTTATCTCCCTCTCTGTTACTTTTTTTGACGGAACCCTAATCAAATCAAAATTGAAAAAAAATGGCGAGTTCAATCGAGAGCATCGCAGAACCTGCCGACCTCTTGATTCTAGTCATGTACGTCGCTTATCATCTCTAAAGGTAATCGAAGATCCCAGGATCTCACCCTAGGGGGTTAGGGTTGGGGTTTCTAACACTGTCGAAAGATTTTGATCTGTATGTGGATTTGGGATTGAATATGGGCCTCGGTTGCTTGGGTTTTCGGGGGGTTCCATAGTTCTCGTTGGATTTCTCAAAACTTTCTCCATTGTCTAGGGTTTGATTTTTTATTAATTTTTTGTTTTGGCCTGTAAATCATTATGTAAGGATAAGGATAGAAGAAAAAAGATCTCTTTTTTATTATTTGGTAGTAGATTGGTTGGGGGTTTTTTTTATATTTTATTTGTATGCAGATCGAGGGTGTGGGTTTGTGGATTTTGGTCTTTTTATTCGTATAAACAAAAAAAAAGTTTTATTTTTTAGTTAGATATTCATGTAAGTTATAGGTTTTTATTATTTGTGTGGGATTTATGGAGGTTTTTTTAGTTTCCCTTGGTCTTGGTGGAGATCTAAACCCACCACCAGATGGATAGGCTCCTGATTCTTTGGAGGAACAAAAAAAAAAGACCAGAAACTGAGAAAAAAGAGTGAAAAGTGAGAGTTTTTAGAATGGGGGAACCTTTGTTAACTTCTCTATCCATGGAGAATTCACACCATCCATCAACTCTCCTGTCCATGGATCCTTCAGGTGCTTCGCCCGATGACTGTGATCGTGATCCCATTATCCAGCGCCAGCAAATTGTGCTGTCACGACCTCCGCCTGACATTAACCGATCTCCTCCGCCTCAGTCGTGGAGCTCTGACCCTTGTTGTGCTATTCTAGACGTCGGTCTTGGTGGCCCGCAGATATATGAAGCTGAGGTCACTGCCCTCAACCTCCCCAAGTGCAGTGGTGGTGCTCGAAAATGTGCAAAGAGAGGAGATAGCATCTGGGGTGCTTGGTTCTTCTTTAATTTCTACTTCAAACCAATGCTATCAGAGAAATCTAAGTCGAAGATTGTACGGGATGGCAATGGAATTTCTGGATTTGATAAATCAGACCTTAGGCTTGATGGGTTCTTAGTGCAACATGACATGGAGAATATGTACATGTGGGTGTTTAAGGAGAGGCCGGAGAATGCTCTTGGAAAGATGCAGCTGAGGAGCTATATGAATGGTCATTCGAGACTTGGGGAGCCCCAGTTTCCGTTTAGTGTTGATAAAGGTTTTGTGAGGTCGCATAGGATGCAGAGAAAGCAGTATCGGGGGCTGTCAAACCCGCAGTGTATTCATGGGATTGAGATTGTGAGGCTGCCTAATTTGACGGTGGTGGCTGAGGTAGACCGCAAAAAGTGGACAGAACTTACAGGGAGGGACGTTAACTTCACAATTCCGCTTGAGGCCAGTGATTTTGGATCGTGGAGAAACCTACCAAATACTGATTTCGAGCTAGAGAGGCCTCCAACTCTTCCTCCACTGAAGAACGGAATTTCACATCACAATTCCAAGAGATTGCTTAATGGTTCCGGGTTGAATTTGTCGACACAGCCTTCAAATCATAGCAATGGTAGTGATGCGATGGACCTTTCCCCTAAATGTAACAACAAAAGAAAGAAAGACTTCTTTCCCCGTGGGATGGACGACTGTTGTTTGCCTGTCAATTCTTTCTCTGATAGAATCCAAGACATGGAAATACACCCGATTGAGCCTCCATGGTTAAATGATTTCAGTGGTGTGATGAGGAATTCCTATGGACCCGTGACTGCTGCCAAGACGATATATGAAGATGAACAAGGGTACTTGATTATGGTTAGCCTTCCGTTCTCAGATCAACAAAGGGTTAAGGTGTCATGGAGGAACAGCCTCACTTATGGTATAGTAAAGGTCTCTTGTGTTAGTACTGCTCGGATGCCTTATATAAAGAGACATGATAGAACATTTAAGCTGACGGATCCTTCACCTGAGCATTGCCCTCCTGGGGAATTCATTAGAGAAATTTCTTTAGCTACTCGGATTCCAGAAGATGCGAAGCTTGAAGCATACTATGATGAGAGTGGTACTGTGTTGGAGATTATGGTGCCTAAACATCGTGTTGGACCTGAAGAACATGAAGTTCATGTGTGCCTTCGCCCTCCTCACCTTGTAGCCAATGAGCTTCTGTTGACTTGAAAAGGTGCAGGTTTAGACGCACGGGTAGTTTGGTCAATTTTTCATTGGTTACCAAGTGTATATCATAAAACGGAAATCTATGAAATGAAGGGCACATTTTTTTTGTTCACTTTCTTTTGATACTCAGTTGTGTTCAATATTTTGGTGTTCTTTGATGTTTGGTTGGATTTTTTCAATGAGATCTAGGATCAGATAAAAGCTGCATAGCTGAAATTTTTAAAGAAAAGGGTTATGGTTCAAGTCTTTTAGCAGGATTAATGCTAACTTGCATAATATCTTTGGATGCTTAGTCTTATTCTCTCATTGGCATTTCATTCAGTTACTTGTGTCGATCCATGGATATATTGGCATCCGCTTCACTGTATACCTAGTATTTGAGTTGAAATGTGTTTATTTCTTATTCATGCATGCTCAACATAGAGTTGGGTTACTTTGCAAGTTCCCTGCTCTCTCTCTCTCTCTCTCTCTCTCTCTCTCTCTCTCTCTTCTTCACCTTCTTTCTTGCATATTGGCAACTGGTGTGGGATTCTTGATGCAAATATGTCTTTTGTTTTCCCCCCATTCAATGGAGACAATCAATGCACCTCATATTGGTGTGGTGTCCCAGGTGTTGCCATTTTGTGTATTTCATCTTCTTTTACCTTTTGGATATCCCACAATTTAATTATGTGTTGTGTCTTAAGGTAAAACTAAAATTTTCATGATACAACAGTGACACATTTGATGGACTGTTTTTTCCCCCTTAATGTATGTTGTCATTAACTTGTAGCAATTGATCATCCTAGATATTCACTTTTATGATTTGGTGGTGACTTATGATTTATTAGGCTCCTAGGAGTGTTCCTTATTTTCACTGTTCTTGACATGCATATAGTATCTATGTTGAGCTTTTTTTCTGGACGAAAGTACCCTCTGGTTTCATTATTTTTGTAGTTGTGATGAAGCATAATGAACTGTATAGTTTGTTGATGTGTGTATAATGTATTCCATCATTATCTCACTAGAAGTTTTTAATCTGTTATATATTACATGCAATGACAAAAACCGTTCAGCTGTTCAGTATGTTTCTGCTCTGTTTATTACCATTAAGCGTTACAGGTTTTCAGTAATCTTTTCCTTTTATTTATTCAGTTCGATTTGTTTTTTGTGCTCCTCATACTGAGTTGGTCTGCCATATATCCAGTTTTATGTCACACTCTCGATTCCATCGTTCTTTACGTATAGCGCGTCTATTACTTTTGGCTTTTGAGGTGACTATAGAAGATTGAACCTAAACATGATTATCCCAAAATTTCTGAAACCTGATGCATAATTTGCACACAGGTAGAAACCTTAGTCACTCGAGGATTCAAGTTAAAGATAAGTTACCCAAATCGTTTATGTTAGCTAGTTATTTAAAGGCTTGTATTTTCAGAGATTGGAAATGTGTTAGCTGCAGCACATCTTGCTGGAGCAATGATGCATTTTAATATCAAGACAGGTTTGCTCTAACTTGGTGTTAGGTTCAGTACTACCCCCCCACCCCAACCAAAAAAAACCCAATGCTGTCAAGTTTATTCTGCATTGATTTGGATATCGGTTTTTAGGCAGTAGATGACGGGACCGAGCTAGAGAAGCTAAGGTTTTTAGCTTGAGTAACAGGCATTTAAAAGAAAAGGTAAATATACATATTTGGTTATTGATTTGGTAAAGTTTCAAGATTGGAAGTGCTCACAGAGGAACTTCAATTCCTTTTTATCATCGATGTGTTGCTCGTCGTGTATCGTTCTTGATTGTGAATCTATACATTTTGTTGAGAGAAACATGTAGTGATGGATCCAAGATGGCTCTTGTAGACCCTCTTTTTTATTACCCCCTCTTCCTTTTTTAGATAAATTGATGTTTCACTTTGGCAACAATTTCTCGAAGGGGAGCTGGCTACTTGGTTTGTGATGTTATGTTGCCAAATTTGTTGTTTATACTTCTTGACCTTTATTAAAAATTGAATATTTGGAGTTATTTTCCTGGATACACATTTGAAGTTTTTTAGGTTTCTTCTTCAGGTCCTTGTGTTGATTTTCTTGAAACTGATAAGGCTGGAGATGTGCCTTTCATCTGCAAGCAAGGTATCTTTTTTTTTTCATTCTTATGCTGATATGAAACTTGCTTCTGTGTATTGATGATTTTTCTTATGGCAGGTATCATCGATAATACCATTTAAACGACATCTTTGAACTGAAAATTTCATTTCTTTCATGTGCTAAATATTACTAATACCTTGCATAGTATGTAAATCGCTTTTATTTCTTTTATAGATTTACTTAATATCCTTTCAATGTAATGCATGTTTAGACATCAATCATGCAAGGCAAATACTAGGAATTTTTTATTTTTTTGGATTGATGATTTACTTAATATTCTTTCAATGTAATGATAGAATTCCTGCAGAAACTACTAATGAAAGAAACAACTAAAGTTAAAATTGATTTATAAAGTTTGTAAGCCACAGTGTGATCTAAAGGGTTTGAACTTGGATCATCATGTATTATGCAAATTGTACTATGTAGTAAATATGGTTAACTTTATTAACTGTATGTATCTACAGGCAGAGTTTTCTCAATCTTTTCAGTGTCTTGAAGTTGGTTTTCTGCTTTAATGTGAAAAATGTCGAATATAGATATGTTTTTTTCCCCATGAAATAAAGTATAATCTCAGGAGTAACGTTTGCTTGTTTAGCAGGAGAGGAGGAAGAGGAAACAAGGAGATTGTGTATATGTGTATTTCTGCTGAATTGTCTTTGTTAATGTTAATGTATTTAAGGACAAATTTGCTAATTGACTAGCTGAAAGAATGAAAATGTTGGTTGATATAAGATCAACTCTCATGTCATCGCTTATGCATACAGTGTTGGGAATTTAAACGCCTAAATCCCTAATGCAACAGAAACGCAGAATAGAGAACAGTACACAAGATTTACGAGGTTCAGCAACTGCCTACGTCCTCGGGAGCCACACAGTCAATTTCTTATTTAATCTAACAAGAAATTACAAATCAAGAGCAGATCCCTAAACTGAGATCTCTCAAATAAACACTGTAGCTACAGTCTTAATACCCACAATAAAGTCCCATCTTCTCTTCTCTCTCTTCTTAAATCCCCTTTTCAAAACACTATTGAAAAGCTGGGATTAAATGGAAAATCGCTGCTGCGATTTTAGGAGAAAGAACGCTGCTGCGTTTTGGGGGTTTTCCACCGCCGCCAGAGAAAAGTCGGGGAGAAGGAGCAGAAAAACCCTAGGGGCAAAAGGGGGGTTTTATAGGCGGAATTGACAGGCTGGCGACAGCCTGTCGCCAGCGGTTGCTCGGACGCGAGGGTGGGATGCCGTGACGCGAGCGTCGGCAATAGGCTATACCATCAAGCTCCTCTCCTGTGTGGCTCCGCCTTCATCATCTATGCATGAAGGCCAACTGAAGTTGCACACAACTCCAGTTTCTGAAAGGTCGCTGCCTTTGTCAACATATCCGCTGGATACTTTCTTCCTTGGATATTCTGTTGAAATCCTTTGACAACTCGTCGGACTCTGTATCTTCTGGAAACACCCTGCTCCTTTTTCACTCGATACACCCACTTGTTGTGATGTGTCTTCTTCCCCATGGGCAACTTAGCTAGTTCCCATGTCTGGTTGGAGATCAGAGATTTCATCTCTTCTTTCGCAGCAAACTCCCACTTGCTCGCATCTCCACTCTGACAAGCTTCATCAAAGCTTTCAGACTCTCCTCCATTTGTCAGCAACATATAATTCATGTATCTGCTGTTAGGCACAGGAGGACGAGTAGTTCTCCTCAATATCGGAGCTGGTGCGTCGGGCTCCTGCGCACCGTTCTGTCCAACAGGCTCTTCTGGCTGAGGACCTTCTGCATTGGGTTCTTCAGAGAGGTTATCCGGAACATCATCTGTATCTACAAATGTTGACTCGCTCTCTGAGTCACCGTCATCTGTCTTGTGCATGTCCTTGTACATCACCTTCTCATTGAATGTCACATCTCTACACCTTATCACCTTCTTGTTTTCGTTGTCCCAAATGCGGTAGCCGAACTCGTCTTCACCATACCCGATGAATGTGCATTTCTTAGACTTGGGATCAGGCTCATTCCTGCCTTGATCACTTATATGCACATAAGCTACACAACCGAAAACTTTGAGATGTGAGAGGGTTACCTCCTTTCCGCACCATACCTCTTCTGGTATTCTGTGCTCCAATGGAACCGATGGACCTCGGTTGATCAAGTAAGCTGCTGTGTTGACTGCTTCTGCCCAGAACTGCTTCGGTAGACCTGACTGCATCCGAATGCTTCTGGCTCTCTCTGTCAACGTTCTATTCATGCGCTCAGCCACACCATTGTGCTGAGGCGTGCCGGGCACGGTCCTCTCCATTCTGATACCGTGCTCATAGCAGAACTTCTTGAATCTGGTGTCTTCATACTCACCACCATTGTCTGTTCTGAGTTTCTTTACCCTCAAACCGGTCTCATTCTCGACCATGGCTTTCCATCTTCTGAAAGCCTCAAACACTTCTGACTTTTTCTTCAGAAAGTAGACCCATACTTTCCGAGAGTGATCATCAATAAAAGTCACGAAGTAGTGTTTCCCACCAATCGACGCGGTGGTTGTTGGTCCCCAAACATCCGAGTGAACAAGCTCTAGCTTCTGCTTCCTGGGGCGAGCTCTAGCTTCTGCTTCCTAGGGGGTCTGCCACTTGTCTGAAAGCTGACTCTCTTCTGCTTTCCAAGTATGCATTCTTCACACATATCAATCTCTACTGATTGTAAACGTGGGAGTTTTCTCTTTGTGTGCATAACCTTCATCCCCTTTTCACTCATATGACCGAGTCTCTGGTGCCACAGCTTTAAAGTCTCATTGCCTGCCGCAACTGAGATCGAACAACGTGCACCTGCTGTCATATACAGGGTACCAGTCTTCCTACCTCTGGCAATCGTCATTGCGCCCTTCGAAATCCTCCAGTCATCGCCATGGAAAGTCATCGTGTAGCCTTCACTAGCCAGCTGGCTTACTGAGATTAAGTTCCTCTTCAGGTCGGGAATATACCTGACATCCTTCAGCTCCCATACTGACCCATTCAGCTTAATCTTCACTACACCTTTGCCAATAATGGCACATGCTTGATCGTCACCAAGATATACATTTCCAAGGTTTCCGGGGATATACTTCTCGAGGAATTCTTTCTGAGAAGTAGCATGGAATGATGCTCCCGAGTCCAACACCCAAGACTCCTCCTTGCTCTCCAAAGAGCATATCAGCGCATCATCTCCTCCTGAGGTGGAAGCAACGTTCACATCTGCATTTGCCTCCCACTCCTCCCGTGCACTCCTGCACTGATTCTTGTAGTGCCCGGTTTTCCCGCACTTCCAACACTCGATAGCCTTCGAACTGTTGGGATTTCTGGATTTGGATCTCCTATCATCTGATCCATTTCCTCTGGTTAAACTTTTACCTCTTGACTCTGTATGCAATACTGAAGAGGTTGTAGCTTCCCCCGACTCTCTCCGTCGGATCTCCTCACTGAGAACCAGATCACGAACGTCGTCAAACTTCAACTTATTGCTTCCCGATGAGCTACTCACAGCTGTGACCGTAGCGTTCCAACTCTCTGGTAGGGAAGACAAAAGGATCAACGCTCGAACTTCCTCATCAAACTCAATATCAACTGAACTCAATTGGGTCGTGACTGTATTGAGTTCATTGAGATGATGTGCTACCGATGCACCTTCCGCCATTCGCAGATTAAACAACCGCCTCATCAAATGGACTTTATTTGAGGCTGATGGCTTCTCATACATATTGGAGAGTGCTGCCATAAGATCTGCCGTGGTCTTCTCCTTTGCAATGTTAAAAGCAACATTGCGGGTTAACGTCAAACGAATAACCCCGAGGGCTTTTCTGTCCAGAAGATTCCAATCTTCTTCCTTCATACCCTCCGGCTTCTTCCCCGAGAGAGATTGATACAGATTTTTCTGATACAGATAATCCTCTATCTGCATTTTCCAGAATCCGAAATCTGATCCATCAAACTTCTCTATTCTCACCTTTCCCTCATCTGCGGCCATGGCTCCCACTTGAATCTGACTTCCTCTAGATCGTTTCACGCTCTGATACCAAGAATAGAGAACAGTACACAAGATTTACGAGGTTCGGCAACTGCCTACGTCCTCGGGAGCCACACAGTCAATTTCTTATTTAATCTAATAAGAAATTACAAATCAAGAGCAGATCCCTAAACTGAGATCTCTCAAATAAACACTGTAGCTACAGTGTTAATACCCACAATAAAGTCCCCTCTTCTCTTCTCTCTCTTCTTAAATCCCCTTTTCAAAACACTGTTGAAAAGCTGGGATTAAATGGAAAATCGCTGCTGCGATTTTAGGAGAAAGAACGCTGCTGCGTTTTGGGGGTTTTCCACCGCCGCCAGAGAAAAGTCGGGGAGAAGGAGCAGAAAAACCCTAGGGGCAAAAGGGGGGTTTTATAGGCGGAATTGACAGGCTGGGGGCAGCCTGTCGCCAGCGGTTGCTCGGACGCGAGGGTGGGATGCCGTGACGCGAGCGTCGGAGTTTCAAACGCCGCGTTCGCCCCAAACGAGGGTCGCGTTCTCCCCAAACGAGGGTCGCGTTCGTCGTCGAATCCGCCACTGTCCCCTGCGTCATCCTGGAGCTCGTCGGAGCTCCTCCGCCGTCGGAGGTTGGTATCCACCTCCAACCTAACATACAGTTACCTATTTAAATATCTGAGAAAAGAAAAATTGATGTGTGTAGACCACCGAAATGGGTGCATGTAAATATCAGATAGGTAGAAGTGTATGCGCTTAATTTTATTGAAGTACGGGTGCAAATGGATCAGATATGTATTGATAAAGAAAACTCATATCCATATTAATACAGATATTGCAGATACAAAATGGATATGAGAAAAACATCTAAGATTGAAAAAATATAGGTCATATGTTGATGCAAGAGGGTCCATTAATATGTTTGTTATATTTGAAAGCGAAGATAAAATTCTAGATTGTTCAAATTAACGTTAAATTAATTAAAAAACGTTTGCAACTCCACATATTTGAAGAAATTTTCAAAATCGTCTCAACAGAATTTTTTTTAAAGAAATCGACCTAATTCACTTTTAATTACAGAAATCGACTCACTTTGAGTTAATTACGTTACTAATTAGTCGGGTTCTCAACCCCGACTAATTAGCAGCCTAATTAGCAGCCGCAAACCTTCCCCTTCATTGACCCCGCTTGTAATTAGGCTACTAATTAGTTGGGGTTGATAACTCCGACTAATTAGTATCGTAATTAACTCAAAGTGGATCGATTTTATAATTAAAAGTAAATAAGGTCTAATTCTTAAAAAAAAATGTGTGGAGGCGATTTTAAAAAAAATTCTTCTACAAATCAGAACACGTACGCACCCTTCTCATTCCGATTCTAATTGGTCCGAACGCGGCCAACCAAATCCGACGGTCACTATCGACTCACGTACGGTGAGACACCGGACCACGTTAGCTAAGAACAAAACTCCACGCGTCTTAATCCCATTGGCTCCTCCTTTAAGTAACGTCCTCCTCGTTCCGAGAACATTTTTAGCGCTCCCAATTTTGATTTCGCCGCCCCCGCACTCAACAATATTAACGGATAATAAGAGGCCACTCGCTCAGTGGAGGAGAGAAGAGGAGAAACCCCCCCAAAAAAAAAATCACCCCCTCATCCAAAGAAAACCCTAGAAAAGAAAAAATTCCCATGGCCAAAACCCTAATCTCCTCCCCGTCCCATTCCTCGATCTTCTCTTCTGTACACGATCGCTGATGCTGCGGTTGCTGTGGATCCAGCGGCGGGCTCGGACGCGGGGGGGGTCGACGGCGCAGAAGAGTGGAGGCTGGTTCGGGTTTATATCCGATGCTATGGAAGTGGTCCTAAAGGTAAATTTTGTCTTAAACGAGACTAAAAATTAGCTGAAACGAAATTATCTCCTCTGATTAGTATTTGAATAGAAGATTGAAGGAAGAGTTCTATAATCAAGTGTTTCAATGTATATAGATTCGGTCCAGAGAAGTAATGTTTTTTGGAATTTTGGATTTGCAGTTTGAGCACAACTTTAAATTGCATCCAAGAAGTGGCGACTTTTGTGGGTTCTCGCTTTGTAGCGCCAAATACCCGAAACGAAATATATGGTCATTTTAGAACGAGATTAGTACTAAGAAAATAGGATTCTTAATGACGTGCTCCAGGGCCTGATGTAAACAGTTAAAGGAAAATCCAGGGCCATCTGATCATTCTCAATAGGGACAGGACGTTAGAAATGTACTTTACAAAAGCACCTTGCTCATTGTCCCCATATACCCACTTTGCGTATCAATATTTTGGATTGATGGAGCACTTAATCCATCTGCATAGTACTTTCACATAGCCTTTGGATGTATCTATCATGTTATTTTGTCAGTTTGATAGGAGATTGTGTATGCTTTAATTATCTTGGTTCTTCTTGTAGTATGGACTGCATCAATGAAATTTCAAGCCACAAATGTTTTTTTCCAACCATAATAATAATAAAATCATTAGGAGAAAGTGATATATGTTGAAGATTTGATGGTTTTACCAAAGTAAGAGTTTAAAGGCTTATCTCCTTGTTATCTGTGTTTAGGTGCTAAAGGACGGACTTCAAGCTATACATGTGCCTTATGCTTATGGGTTTGCAATCATTTTGCTGACTGTCATTGTTAAGGTGGCAACCCTCCCTTTGACGAAAAAGCAGGTAATAATGTTCTAATTTATATTGACTGCACTCTAACTGATTACTTCTATGGTAACATATTTATTTATATGCTAAATAGCTCCATACTATTGTGTGGGTATGAAGTTAGCTTCTCAGTTAAATGTTTCCCTGACCTCTTTGAAATTTTATCTTTCTATAAGAATAATTACTAGAGCCTTTATTTATGCGTCTTATTTTATTTTTGAAAACCTTGTTGTGTAATGTATATCATTTCATACTCCTATTTTAAATATAACTAACAACTAAGTAAGCGTAATTGGGAGCACATAATTCTTTAAACATAATAGATCTTATGGTCCCAGAATGCATTCAAGCTTTTTTTTTTTATAGGTTGAGTCGACGTTGGCAATGCAAAATTTACAGCCCAAGCTCAAGGCAATACAAGAAAGATACAAAGGCAATCAGGTTAGTCTTACGTCCTCATTCTCAAGTTGAAGTGCAAGTTATGTATCACAAAAGGAAAACATTTGCATTATTTGACAGGTGAGACCTCTGAGAAAATTTTCTCTCTTTCTAAAGCCCAAAAGAATTTATTATAGAAGGTGTTAATGTAATTATGTTCGACACTGAAAAACTAACTTTTTATTTCCTTAAAAGGGCATTTATTTGTTTTATGACTCTTAACAATACTTTAACCTTAGAGATGATGACACTTATTCCCAGGCCTCATCACTTACATAGAAATTTATTTATAAACATCTCTTAGAGCTTCAATCTATTTGCATATATGGTATTAGTGAATCTTCTTAGTTGTCTTGTGTATTTTCAATTTACAGCTAGGATGGAAAGTTTCATATGACCTGAGTTATTCTTTTCTGGCCTGTCTGTAGGAAAGAATACAGCTTGAGACTGCACGTTTATATAAACAAGCTGGGGTGAATCCGTTAGCAGGTCTGTTTTTGTTCTAAATATTTTCTTTGTTCTTTTTAATTGCTATGCTTCAAGAAAACCAAATCCTTAGTTATGCTCCGTATATGAACAGTTATTGGATTGACTGGTTGAGCTTACTTGATTGGGTCAGTTATTGTTGAGTTATTTGGATAATGTTGTAAGGACCTTTTTGTAAGAATACATTAATATAAGAGTGGTACCTCTCTATGTGAGAGACAACCCTAATTTTCACCCAAAATTCCACATGGTATCAGAGCTGGGTGGCGGCTCTCCTTTTCTTCGCAGCTGAGCTTCGTTCCCTGGATCGGAGAGCTCAGCTTGAGTGCTCTCCTCTTCTTCGCTCTTGAGCTTCATTCTCTGGATCGGAGAGCTCAGCTTGGGGCGGTCCGACTTTGAGGCGACTTTGGGACCATCGCCGACTTCTCCATCGTGCTTCGTCATCTTCACCTCTGGTCGTGGTGACGTGGCAGCAGCTAGAGAGAGAACGAAGGAAGGAGGGGGAGCTGGTTCGTTGATTTCTTTGAGAGGACGAAGGAGGGGGGTTTGAACTGATTTCTTTTTGGGGGCGGTCTTGATTTGTGAAGCCCTAGACTGAGGAACAGTGAGCCCTCCGTTCCCTAATGTTTGGTTTTTTGCTCAAGTCGTTTTTTTTTGGGGGCTGGTCTAGAGATTACAGTAGCATCTTAGATGGCCATGACCTTTGGGTTGTGCAAGACTGCAAGTAGATGGAAAGTCTGTGATTGCATACAGACGCACGACTCGTAGTTAAGGTGGGTCTGATCTTGTCTCTGTGTTGGGTTTTTAGATAAGAACAGTCAAGTGTGAAGATGGGAACACCTGTGACTAGTCAGGAATTGAAGGAGATCCTGGAGGGGGTGGCCAGGGTATTTCAGACCAAACTAGAGGAGAATTCTAGTAGGTCAGTCGTGACCGCATCGGAGTCGGCGCGGGTAATGGAGAGGGTAAAGTTGATGCCGAATGATGTCAAGCTAGAGGGGACAAGAAACTACCTGAGTTGGTCTCGGAGGGCATTGTTGAACCTTCGAACCAAAGGACTTGAAAAGTATGTGAAGGGTGAGTGCATTGAGCCAGAGAATAAGGAGAGTGCTGAGTGGAACACATGGAGTAATACTAATTCTCTGGTGGTTTCTTGGTTGTTGACTTCTGTGTCTTCAACCATAGCTGGGATGGTAGAGTCTATCTCAAGTGCTGCTGATATCTGGAAGACATTGGAAGGGATGTACTCTGGAGCTGGGAGTGTGATGATGATGATGGAAGTGGAGGAGAAGATTGACGCTACCACACAAGGGGAGAAGACAGTCCACCAGTATGCAGCAGAGCTACGTCACTTATGGGCGGATTTGGACCACTATGATCCGTTATCACTACAAAATCCAGCAGATGTTCTTTTGGGGAGGCAATATCTTGAGCGCAGACGTGTGGCTCGTTTTCTCAAGGGCCTGAATCCAAAGTTTGAGGGAAGAAGGGCAGCAATATGTCACTTGTCATCTCTCCCCTCCTTGGATGAGGCTATTGCATCGATGGAACAAGAGGAGATCAGACAGAAGGTGATGACAGGCGAGGCCTCACCTCCTGTCCGCTCGGCATTGGTGGTGCCAGATGCTCACATCAGAGATGATAGAGAGTGCTATAATTGTGGAAAGAAAGGGCATCTCAGCTACAATTGCCCTCAATTCCGCAATACCGGTGGTAGCCGAGGGGGCAGAGGACAGAGAGGTAGCCGTGCAGGACGAGGAGGCAGAGGACGTGGAGGCCGAGGAGTGGCTCACCTAGCTGTGGCAAAGGAGTCCCGAACTACTGCTGAGATGACTGGAGCTGACATAACAGAGTTGGAGGAACTACGTCTGTTCAAGCTTCAGGCTGAGAGTTCAAAGGGCAATGGACAAGTCACTCAGGATCTGGATAACACTAACTACTTTGGTAACTTTGTTGGTTATGCTCATACAAACAAAGGTACACAGGTTCAGGCACTTGCATCCACCAAAACTCATGTTGATTGGATCATAGACTCAGGTGCATCTAGGCATGTCACAGGATCATCTAGTGAGTTTGCATTATATTATCCGAGTAAGCATATGCATCCTGAGACAGTTCAGACTGCTGATGGGACATCCCAACCCATCAGGGGTACTGGCTCGGTCAATTGCACTTCATCTATTACCTTGTCATCTGTATTGCATATTCCTTCATTTCCAGTTAACTTACTCTCTATTAGCTCTCTCATTGATCAATTAAATTGCACTGTGTTATTTGATCGGGATATGTGTGTCTTCCAGGAGAAGGAAACGGGGAGGAGGATTGGGACTGGCATCAGGCGTGATGGCCTTTGGTACTTGGACAGGGAGACTGCAATGATTGCTGTTGCTGTTAGTGGAGGGCCAGAGGCAGAAGCAATGCTTCAACATTGCCGACGAGGGCATTTATCTTTTGATAGTTTGAGTAGGTTAGAACCTGAGATAATAAAGAAAGTGGATAGAAAAGAGTTATTTTGTAATGCTTGTGAACTTGGAAAACATACTCGTTCTACTTATATATTTTGTAATGCTTGTGAACTTGGAAAACATACTCGTTCTACTTATAAAATGATTGGCCTTCGAAGTTTTGAACCATTTGCACTTGTCCATTCTGATGTTTGGGGACCATGTCCTACTACCTCTATTAGTGGTTTTAGATGGTTTGTTACCTTCATTGATTGTTATTCACGTATGGTCTGGATATATATGATGAAGCAGAAATCTGAGGTTTACAAATGTTTTCAAGATTTCTCGGCTTATGTGAAGACACAGTTTGGAGTGCAGGTGAAGATTCTTAGAACAGATAATGAAACTGAGTATGTCAACAAGGAGTTTGCGGCTTTCATATCTAGTCAGGGAATTCTTCATCAAACCACATGTCCAGACACCCCTGCTCAGAATGGGGTGGCTAAACGTAAGAACAGACATCTATTAGAAGTGACACGTTCATTGATGTTGACAATGAATGTGCCTAAGTTTTTATGGAGTGAGGCCGTTATGACAGCAGCTTATTTGATCAACAGAATGCCATCAAGAGTATTAGGGATGAAGACACCATGTGAGATGCTCTTGGGCTCGAATGTTTTTGTTGTTCCTCCAAGAGTGTTTGGATGCACATGTTATGTGAGAGATCACAGATTGATGGTGAGTAAATTGGACCCGCAAGCAGTTAAATGTATCTTTGTTGGCTACTCATCAAGTCAAAAAGGATACAAGTGTTGGTGTCCCACTGAAAGAATGTTGTTTGTTAGTATGGATGTGATTTTTCGGGAGTTTGAACCTTTTTATGGGGAGAAAACGGAGTTGAGTTCTTTGTTTGGAGATGGCTCTACTGATGCTAGTAGAGAGGGGGAGAATGAGAATGAGAATGAGAATGACATTGTGATTGAGAATGAGAATGACATCGTGGTTGGGATGATTCCATGTCCACTTGAGTCACCGAGTAGTGATGGTACATCGCCAAGGAGTGGTGACGACTCAGGAGTTGGCAGTCAAGGTCAGGGGGAGCTGAGAGTATACACGAGGAGACAGAAACAACAGCATGAGCAGCCTCCTGTGTCTGTGCCAGTACCCACAACTGTTGATGTCCTAAGTCCCTCCTCTCCAGTGTCTTCCTCATCTTCTTCACCTAAGCCGATAGGTAATGATTCCTTCCCTGATACTTCTAATACTCCTGTCTTATCTCGCAGAACCTCTAGAGTCAATGCAGGAAAACCTCCAGTTAGGTTTGGTAGTTGGGATACTGACATTGCGAATTATATTTCATATGCATCCATTCCACCTGCATATAAGTCATTCATTGCATCATTGCATTCAGTGCATGTTCCTAACAACTGGCAGGTAGCTAAGCAAGATCCTAGGTGGTTGAGTGCTATGCAAGAGGAACTCCAGGCCTTGAAGAAGAATGACACATGGGAGTTGGTACCTTTGCCAGCTGGGAAGCGTGCTGTTGGATGCAAGTGGGTGTATACAGTTAAGCAAACTCCAGAGGGCAAGATCGACAGATACAAGGCCAGATTGGTTGCTAAAGGGTACAGCCAAACGTATGGCATTGACTATGACGAGACATTCGCTCCAGTAGCAAAGATGAGCACTGTTAGAGTGTTGGTGTCATGTGCTGCCAACTTCAATTGGCCACTACATCAGCTAGATGTCAAGAATGCCTTTTTGCATGGAGATCTCCAGGAGGAGGTATATATGGAGATTCCACCAGGCTTCACTACTTCTCATGTAGCTGGGAAGGTATGCAAGTTGAAGAAGTCTTTGTATGGGTTAAAACAGTCTCCGAGGGCATGGTTTGACAGATTCAGGTTGGCAGTCTGTGGTATGGGGTACAAGCAGTGCAATGGGGATCATACTGTATTTTACAGGCACTCTAAAACTCGTATCACCATCCTGGCGGTCTATGTTGATGATATTGTAATCACTGGGGATGATGCTGAGGAAATCCTACGGTTGAAGAAGAAATTAGGAGAGGAATTTGAAGTTAAAGATCTGGGGCAGTTGAAGTACTTCCTTGGAATTGAAATTGCAAGGTCACGAAAGGGTATAGTGCTTTCTCAGCGGAAGTATGCTCTAGATCTTCTCTCAGAGACAGGAATGTTAGGGTGCAGAGCTGCATCTACTCCCATCGAGCAGAATCATAAGATGTGTGCCGAGGGTGGTGACCCGGTGAGTAAAGAGCAATATCAAAGATTAGTTGGACGACTTATATATCTATGTCATACGAGACCTGATATTACTCATGCAGTGAGTGTGGTGAGTAGATATATGCATGATCCCAGAGAGCAGCATATGGAGGCAGTTCGCAGAATTCTTAGGTATATTAAAGGAAGCCCGGGAAAGGGGTTATGGTTCAGGAGTTCTGGACATCTGAAAATTGAAGGCTATTGTGATGCTGATTGGGCGGGTTGTATGGATGATCATAGGTCCACTACAGGCTACTGTGTATTTGTTGGAGGTAATCTCATATCTTGGCGCAGCAAGAAGCAAGATGTGGTGGCTAGGTCTACAGCTGAGGCCGAGTACAGGGCTATGGCAGTTAGTCTGTGCGAGTTGATGTGGGTCAAAAACATATTATCTGAGCTGTGCCTGTTTAGAAGAGACTCCTTACAACTTTGGTGCGACAACAAATCAGCGATTAATATTGCAAATAATCCAGTTCAGCATGATCGTACCAAACATGTGGAGATTGATCGATTCTTTATCAAGGAACAACTGAATAGAGGAGCTCTGACTTTAAGCTATGTGAAATCAGAAGAGCAATTAGCTGATTGTTTAACAAAAGGATTAGGTTCTAGAGAGTATGATAAGCTATGTGAAATCAGAAGAGCAATTAGCTGATTGTTTAACAAAAGGATTAGGTTCTAGAGAGTATGATATCTTTTGTAACAAGATGGGGATGATTGATATCTATCGCCCATCTTGAGGGGGAGTGTTGAGTTATTTGGATAATGTTGTAAGGACCTTTTTGTAAGAATACATTAATATAAGAGTGGTACCTCTCTATGTGAGAGACAGCCCTAATTTTCACCCAAAATTCCACAGTTATCTATGTTAAACTGGTTAAGGAATGCACTTGATACCGTTTATGAGTTAGGCTAATTAGCAAATAGTTTCAAAGAAGAAAGCCTAAGGGACTGGGACAAAAAGATACACGCTGGTTTTAACAGTAATAAATATTTAAATGCAGCTTGCTACACATTCTTTCAGATTTATGAATGTCTGAATTTACTAGGCAAATTTTACAATTATAGAAGGGAATTGAGGAACAAGGAAATGGTGTCAAACTACCAATGTGTGGCTAGAAGTTTTCCTGGTTTCTCAGATAAAGGTCTGAGTGTAAGGGCTGACTATATCAGGCTTCTAGAAGATACATTATAATCTCTTTATATTGCAGCAGTGGTACTCCTTGTACGAGCTCAACTATTTTGCAAATCATGTCTTATTCAGCAGTTTATGACGCATGCACACCAGTTCCCCTGTCGTTGCATAAAGAACAAACACATAAATTAAGTTGAATTGGGTGTTCGATGGAAAGATCACCGCTTTCCTAAGATATGTGACTGTCATTTTCTTTGGGAGTTAGGAGCCATAGTTTCTATGCAGCTATCATCACCCAGTTAATACTGCAATGAAATTCTAACATTTCTCTCAAACCAATTCTACTGCACGTGGGAAGTCATAATTGCCATCTTTGTCCAGAGAAGCCTATACTTGCGTCTAGTAATTAGCTTATTGAAATTTATCTTCTGACTATGTTTTTTTTTATTTCTTTTCTTTTTTATGTTACAACACCTTCTGTAGTTGCTTAAAACATATTTTATGTATATTCAGTATTTACCATGGCGCTGTATACACAATAATATTAATTCTTCCCTCGTCCTTTACTACAGGATGTTTTCCAACTTTGGCTACAATACCTGTGTGGATAGGACTGTACCAAGCTCTTTCAAATGTTGCCAACGAGGTACAAAATTATCGTTCTTGAACATGTGTATTGCATTGAAACTGCGATTTTTAGTTTCAGTTGCTTAAAATTGTCTTAATCTGTCAATCTTTTTGAATGAAGGGTCTCCTAACAGAAGGATTTTTTTGGATTCCATCACTGGCGGGTCCAACAACAATTGCTGCTCGACAAACTGGGTCTGGCATTTCCTGGCTATTCCCTTTTGTGGTAGTTTTCTTTCCTTTTTCCAGTCTTCAAGTGAACAACCTATGCTTTTTCTTTTTTTTGATCTCTTGATCAGTGTCCTGCTTTGCTTCACGAGAACATGTACCATTTACTTTTCCTTGGGAAAATGCTGAAAATAAACTACTTTATACTATTCTGCAACAGAATTTTGATTCCATATGTAGTAGTACCTGAGGATCTGTTACTGGTTGCAACTATGATAGGCTTGCCTAGAGATAAAAGTCTTAACGGGGATGGACTTTAAAAAACGATAAGGAATGAACAATTCATATGACAAAAGATAACATACCTTAACAAGAAAATATGTAAAGGCTTTATGTGAGTACTGACCAGTGAAGGTTCCATACCACGAACTCAATAGCAATTCCACCAGGTCTCTGTGAGTGGGGATTTTGCAATAACATAATTGACGGATCCAATATGTATTCCTGCAAAAGGGCAACCAACTCGATATATAGGAGTAGCATAATCTATTCGTTGAAGTGATTCAATAAAGGGATAAGCACATCCATACAATATTGCGACTTTTAATAATGTTGGCATAATATACATATTAGATTTAAAGAAAAGATAATAAATTGTAAATTATCTTTTAGGGAATATTGATGAACAAAGAATGACATTTTGAATTCTATTGTTGGTAAAAGTGTCTAGGACACATAACAATCTTATATGAGTAAATAAAGTTGACTTTTCATGCACTTAATGAGATAAAAATATTCTAGATAGACATCTGTTGGAAAAGTATTATTTTCTTTATGTTTTTGTACTTTATGGTTCTGCAAACTAGTTATAAACATAGCAGTCATTACTTTGTATAATTATATCAGTTTTACATTTTTATGGAAATGAATTTTTTTTTTGTTGGTCTGTGGTGGATTTTCTGAGCTATTAAGAAGCAGCAAGCTGGAGAAATTATTAAACATGTTTATATAAATTGAGTTATTTTCATCTGCCATACTGGTGCAGGATGGACATCCACCTTTAGGATGGTCCGATACAGCAGCATACCTTGTTCTACCTGTACTACTTGTTGTTTCACAGTTCGTTTCAATGGAGATCATGAAGCCACCTCAGGTAAATAATCAGCTTTGGTCAGATTTAATTTCTGAAAATTCCTAGATAATGTCATAAAATATCGAATGTTGATTCTTCCCTCTTCTACAACAGCAGAGTGATGATCCAGCTGCAAAGAACTCTCAACTCATATTCAAGTTTCTTCCTCTAATGATTGGTTACTTTTCATTATCAGTCCCGTCAGGATTATCAATTTACTGGTTTGTAGATGAATACTTTCTTATCAGCAAACTTGTGATTCCTTTCACTAATATTTTATATAACATGTACAGACATGTAGCTGACCCCAAAATTTTGGGATAAAGCTGTTGTTGTTACATGTTACAAACAACATTCTCAGTACAGAACTTACTGAGAATCACGATGATAGGATAAGAGTATTAATATTGGTTCTGTATATGACTGATGTTTTGCTTATGTGTGATTAATTGTGTTCCGCTGGGTGCAGGTTTACAAACAACATTCTCAGTACAGCACAACAAATATGGTTAAGGAAATTAGGTGGTGCAAAGCCTGCTATTAGTGCAGATGGAGGTGGAATCATTAGTGCTGGTCAAGCAAAACGGTCTAATTCTCAGCCAGCACGAAGTGGTGAAAGGTAATTTTCTCATTTATATCAGGTACCATTCTTTGCCATTTTACGGCGGATTAATTACCTTATTACTAAGAAAACGGAGATGCAGGTTTAAGCAATTGAAAGCAGAAGAAAATAAGATAAAGGTGAACAAAGCCTTGCCAGCAGAGGTTGAGGTTTTGGCTTCTACAGCAGATTCTGATGATAATTCAGATGGAGAGTCAAAGGTCTGTTGTCCTGCCTAGATTTATGTTTCTTTATTTTTCCACACAACCTAGTAGGCTGGTAGATCAAGTGATGTAGTTAGCTGATCATTAGGCCTTCATCAGTCAAATATTTGTTATCAGTATCCAAGTCATTTATCTGTTGAAAGGCCTTTTTGACATTGATATCTAGACTTTGCATGACCATGGGAGTATTAAATGATGGGTTGGTTGCAAGTCTGACTATCACGCCCCGGGCCCGCGAGCTAGTTGGCGCGGTGTATGCTGTGGGGTGGTTGTGAGACCTCAAGGATAGTCCCATGTCGGTAGGTTATAAGAGAATTTGAGTGTTTGAATAGCTAAGATAAAGACTCAAGTGTATCATTGGCTAGTCAATTTTGGCAGTGGTTTGAGCCAAACAACACGCTACACTCAGTGGATCGGCTTACACTATGCCAACGGGTCTGCATGCTTGGGGCGTGACACTAACCGTGAAAAGTAGGAAAGAAGAACTCGGAATGAAATTTGGAATTTGCATAACCATGCGAAAAATTAATGAGGGATGGGTTGCTAGTTTAGCAATTAAAAGAAGAAAAAAGAAAAATGATCTACTATAGGAAATTGCAGTGAGGAAACTACAAAGGAAAGATGTCACGCCCCAGTACCAAAATAAAATATTTTAGGACGTGACTCGGTCGGCAATGCAACCATTCGGTCACATTCACGCCTCTGAATTATCCTGTATACAGATATATTGCCTACAAGAACTACTACATAGAGCATGTAACTAAGATAACAAAGGGAAATTGATAGATAAAGAAATCAGAACAAGACAAAGTTCTCTTACATGTCCTCAACTTC